GAACGTGGTGTATACCTCGCTAAATCGAGAATCCGGTTCCAAGGTCAACTCCGAACACATTACGCAAAGTTCCCAAAATCCCGATGGCTCCAACTGGGGCCCTTTTTCGCGCTCATTCCTACTAGCAGTTTACAGTTGACTACCTGTCCAGCTGACTGATCCAAAGCCGCAGCAGATCATCTGGGCGAATTGCCTCCGGAGCGTTGGGATTGTCGCGAAGATCTGCATTGTGCTTCCACGGCCTCGCTTACTTATTTTTATAGATCTTGGGGACCCGATCATTTCGGTCTTCAAGGGTGAGCACCAGAAAACTGTTGGGCTCCCCACCCGAACGAGGTTTGAGCACCACCATTATGAGTGAGCTCTCCCCCTTATCGTCACTCGGTTGCCTTCAGAATATCATATCGTCGAATCTATACAAACGCGTGGATTATACAATCTTGAGTTGATGACAAGTGGCGATCGGATCTAAATCTTCCATCTACCGATTTCAAACCCCCCCTTCAAAAAACGTATCACATTGCTCGAAAACAACAACAAACAGAAAAGCATTGGCTTCTAATATGGCGGCGAGCACAGCTCAGCCTTCTTTAGTGTACCCTCACCCACCCGCTCACTCATTTCTTCTTCGACTCCCCGGCCCAGACCCGGGTTTCCTTGGCACTGTCATGCGTAGCTCGGAACACTGGGTGGAATCGAAGTCAGTAAGAAGGGAAAGCCGAAGGCTACGCAGTAGAATCAACGGCACCGTCGACCAAACGTACATTGTCGTTCCGTCTCGTCCAGACCACGCAGGAAATCCGCCCCTTGGCCCAACGCGCCCTGCGGATTGTGCGCATGGTCGGCGATCTGCGCTGCACGCTTTTTGAATGTCTGTCGGACGATGAGTGATCCTGTTAACCTCCTCCCTCTTGGACATCATCACTCCCGGAGGGGGCATGGTCATACATTACTCAGAACATCCACCATCTCCTCTTCCTCAAACAGCTCCAGCACCCGTTCGCTCAGACTGTAGAAATGGGGCGCCAGCGAGCGCAAGTCCACCGTCCGGGGATCGGCCTTCAATGCGTTCAGGACACGATCCGACAATGCATATGGGAGATCCAGCGTCACCAGTCGCGAGGTACCCAGCCGTGCACTGAGAGCGGTCCCATCAGATAACAGCCACAATCAATGGCAACAAGTAGACATCAAAATTCGCTTACCCGATGGACAGCATCTCCCCCAACCAAAGTGGCAGGTCAATGCGAGTCCCGGCTTTGATCTGGGTAGCATGGTCAGTCAAGCCAGTATGCAGAACTCAAGTCAAGAAAGTTTCCATACATTCTCTCCCGGATTGCCTTCTAGAATGCCAAGACCCGGCACGTCGAGCTCAAATGTGCAGGGCAGTTTCTACATCAGATTTGCCCTCGTCAGTTGTTAGAAGAGACACACCAGGCTTCTCCGCCAACCTACCTGTGCATCTGTTAGGATAGCATCAATATCATAGTAGGACATTTTGACGTGAATTTTCGATCTTCAGGTATCTTCTGCACTAAAGAATAGGCTGCTCACACGGAGGGTTTGGCAGTGGACAAGCGAGACTGCGACGCGTCCCCGCAAACCGCGAGGTCACATGACCTCACACCTTGTTCGGAATGTGGACCAATGAGAGGGCTGCCATATAAGCGAGCTAGTATACAATTTTCGGGGCATCTCAAGTGCATCATGGATCATTCTTTCAAGAAACTGCGGTGGATGCGACCGCGCATCCAGGCGATCAATCTCTGACCACTTTTGAGTTGACTTCTTTCGATCCAGAACTATGGATAGCCCATACGCGTATAATTCTCTCAATGGACCATCTAGCATGAGTAGGAGATTATTCGACGGTTTTCTACACATGCAGGCCTGCAATACTACAGATCTAATAAAGTTATCGCTCCGATCTGTGAGCCGCAAACTATGCTTTGCCAGAACCAACGCTCTGAAGCGCTATGAACAGCGATAGTCTGTCGCAATTGCTAAGACATCTTATCTAAAGGCTTTTTAAAGTCTCCGTTTTCTCTGGCGGAGCGACGCTTCTGGGAGGGTTATCTCACGAATGCCCATATGAAGATTGTCGCTGCTGCAATGCATACTTTGCATCTATCTCTCTTGTAGTGAGATACAGTTGGTATGGTGCCTCCGAGTTCGTGACTGGTGACGAGTAGCAGGAGCAGTTTCAGAAATGCGTAAGTTACTTCAATTCCGACAGGTTGTATATTTATCTCGAGCTCAAACGGATAGACCAAGATCAGTAGCTTCGAGCGTGACAGAGTTGGTGCCACATCATGACGCCACAGCAAGACCCATCTCACCAGAGACGAAGACATAACTGAAATCAATTGCCCAAAAACACAGAATTCGCGCTTGGAACCTTTGATGCTCCATGACCCTTGAGATCTAGATATCTAGGGCTGGCGCAGCCCATGACTAAGCCAAGTCACCTGCCTCTCACATCCATCATCACGTGCATCGGCAGCAATCAATCCATTGCGGCAACCCGTCGTAGGTCGATTCACACCTTTTCCCACAATTTCCACCTCGGTTTGTCTCTTGACCTTTCCCCGCGAAAAGACAATCTTGTCTTGGTCTTGAAGGCACCGGTCCTTCTGATTCTCCCGTGGGACTGTCTCCTCCCGATGGGCGGATCCCTCGACGCCGCCCAGGACAGTGGACGCTGTCGAGCTCGATGACGATGGCCCCTCCGAGCGGGTCGGCAGTGTACAAGAAGAAAGATGGCACCCTGACCATGTCGCCGGACCAGCAGTCGGTCTCCTGGATCCCGGCGGCTGGAGGTGCGACGGGGACGATCACGATCTCGGTGGCTCAGATAACGAGTGCGTGGGTTTTCTTTTTGTATTTTCGCAGCTTTGTTTAGAACGCGTCCGCCCAATTTTGCTCTTCTCCAGCTATTCTTCTTCGCTCAGACAGACTAATGACATGACGAAAAAAAATGGAAATAGATTTACAACAGACCCCCGCGACTAGCCCCAAAGTAATGCTGAAGATCCACGTCCTCCCTCCCAACGCACCGGACAACACCCCCGAACAGTACGTCTTCAACTTCACAGCCGGAGCGAATGCGCGAGCCGAGGCGGACGCCATCAAAGATGCGCTCAGTGCGGCCATTCAGGCTGCGAAGGCCGCTCAGGCCGCGCCCACCCCGCCTGTAGCTGCTGCTGCTGCTGCTGCTGGCAGCGCCGGCGGAGGCTCCAACGAAGGCGTCTCCGCGGCGATGGCGATGGCGAATGCGATCACGGCCGGAGGGAGCTACGAGAAGCCGTGGGACGATGACAAGCGACTCCAGGGCGACATGGAGCTGCAGCAGTCGCTGCTCAAGTCGAACCCGCAGCTGCAGCGCATGTTCATGGAGTCGATGGGCACCAAGCCCGAGACACTCTCCGCGGGCCAGTTCATGAAGCAGTTCTGGTCGACGCGGCTGCACCTGCTGCGCGCCCACGCGATCGAGCGATCGCAGACGCGCGGCTCCTACAACGTGCTGTCGACGCTCAAGCCGCGGGTGGAGGACAGTGTGACGAAGCTCAACATCAGCAAGGAGCAGATCCAGCTGATCTTCAACCAGCACCCGCTCGTGAAGCAGGTGTACGACGAGAACGTGCCCAAGCTGAGCGAGACGCAGTTCTGGTCGCGCTTCTTCCAGAGCCGGCTGTTCAAGAAGCTGCGCGGCGAGCGGATCTCCGAGACGGACGCGACGGATGCGATTTTGGATAAGTATCTCAAGGCCGACGAGCATGGGAATCTGCGGGATGCGCAGGTCCCGCACTTTTTGGATTTGGCAGGGAACGAGGTCAATCACAGTCAGCGGCGCGGCAACCGCCCCGATCTCGACATGCGACCGTCCTCCGTGGACAAGGTCCCGATAATCCGGACGCTGAACAACCTGAGTGAGAAGATTATGGCGAACGTTGCGCCGGCCGATGCGATCCCGCAAGCGAATGGCGACGCGGAGGATGATACGTACAACGAGCTGCAGCTGCGGGATCTGCGGGGCGACGAGGAGCAACGGCGCATCCTGCTGAATGTGAAGGACCAGAGCCGCTTTTTCTCGTCGCAATCCAAGACGGATGAGGATGAGGAGAGTCGGCTATTCGCGCAGCAGGATCCAAAGCAGATCCTGAACAACCTGCGTGGTGAGGTTGACCAAAACCTGCCAGAGGGTGGAATCGTGCCTCTGGGGCGCCTAGTGGAACCCGAGGAGGACGATGACGGCGATGAAACCAAGCAGGCCAGCCAGGTGGGCTCCCGAGCCAACTTAAAACGTGCATCAAGTCAGATCCTCGAGGCCATCCGGGACCGCCGCACGCAGACCGAGGTGTCAGCGATCTCCGGCACATTCGGCCTGTCGAGTGCGCTGTACGATCGACTCACGCTGACGCATGCGACCTCGACCGAATTCTTGCACCAGTTCTGGCAAGCATTCCTGTCGGGGAACCCCGACCGTGCGGGGGAAGTGGCCTCGTTGGTTGAATCGCTCAACCGGGCCATGGACCGCATCAAGGCCGTGCAGCAAGACGCAGAGGCGGAGCGACAGGTGGAAATGAACCGACTGCGGCGACACGCCCGAGAGGTGCTGGAGGCGACGGGCAAGAAATTGCGGATCAACTTGACGAATGTCGCTGGCGGGGAGCAGGCCGTGACCCGATTATTGGGGCCGACGATCCGCGCATTGGAAACGGCGCTGACGAAGTATAAGGACGCGTTAGCCGAGGAAATGAAGGAGATGCCTCCCGCGTGAGCTTGGAATTGGAGGGAACCATGTATGATAGAACTAGACATAAAAATGATGTGAAATATAGCTCCTCAATTGCCCTTATGTCTGAATGAGTATGAAGCAAAGATTACTAGGTACTAGTAGCTTATCGGCATGCCGAGACCCCTAAGCCTCGGCCCGCACTCCGTCATTGGCGCGACGTGGCAGGTGCAGTGGCCAACCTCATCCGCAATCCGCTCCGCAACCACGCGACATCAACTCGCAATAACACCCACACCACCCCTCATGCTATAAACCATCGTCCTTACATCCTTAGACAACAGCGAACTGGGAAATCGCCAACATATCCAAACCGTCACCCACACCCACAGAGCCAGACCGCACGGAGCTCCAAAATGCTAACCTCCGGCCTAACCAACGCGCCCATCTCCAAGGCGCTCCTCATCTACACGATCGCCGCCTCCGTCGCGCTCGCGATCTTCGACATCAAGCACCTAGCTTTGCTTCAAATCACGCCGCACCTGTGGCCGTACGGCCAGTACTGGCGCCTGGCGGCGTGGCAGGTAGCGGGGTTCGGCAACTCGACGGAGGCGCTGTTCGCGGCGATGCTGGCCTACCATCTGCGGGTGGTGGAGCGGGCGTGGGGGACGCGGAAGATGGGTGTACGTGCTGCAGAAAACCCCCCAGCACTTTGAATATCCTCCTCTTAAGCTTCGTTAAACGCTTGCGCCGTATGATGATATACTAACAAGTGTGATACGGAAAATGGGATTAGACCTTCCTCCTCACCACCCTACCCTACACGACGCTCCTCCCGCCGCTCCTCCTCCTCCTGGTGCGCCCTCTCACGCTCGCGAAGCTGAATGCACTTCCGTCGGGGCCCACGGCCACGCTCTTCGCGGTACTGGCGCAGTACCACGCGGCGATCCCGCCGACGGTGCGGTATTGTCTCTCCACGGCGTCCAACAACCCTAGTCCTCCGGCGTCAGCAGCGCAGCAACCCCCGCCGACGGACGCACACCCCCCCAAATCCAACGTCACGCTCACGCTCTCCGACAAGTCGACCACCTACCTCGTCGCGGCGCAGCTCGCCGCCTCGCAGTTCCCAACTATGCTCCTGCCGGCCGTGGTCGGGTGGGGGGTCGGGCTGGCGTGGCGGACGGAGGCGCTGCCGCTGTTCTTTGTGCCGGGCGGGTATCGGTGGCGGGTGCCGGGGTGGGTGGTTGGGCAGGCCGACCGAAACCGTGCGGGGGTGAGAGGGCGAGGGGGTGAGGAGGGCACGGGGTCCGGCGGGGAGCGGTATGAGGAGTTGCGGCGGAGGTTGGAGGGGGAGGTTGTTGCTGCTTCGGGGTCGGAGGGGGCTGGCGCTGGCGCTGGGATAGAAGGCGCTGGGGCTGGGGCTGCGCAGCGGTTGAGACGCGGGGTGGGGGCTTAACACTCCTCCGTCTCTCTGGGCGTTTGATGCTGCATGATGGGATTTGATCTGGGATTCTCTGAGGGTCATGTATGAGACTTCAATCGTGCTAAACCATCTACTATCTACTCCGGGATACAACAAGACTCTTCTCAAGTGGCTGCCCCAAGTGTCCAAAGCACGAGGTATCTAAATATAGCGGGTAAGACGCACATCGTCAACTCAACCCCCACGAATCCATGCCTGTTATCACAAGAGGAAACGCGAAAACAAAAACACATGTCCTCAGGGAGGATCGAACTCCCGGCCTTGGGATATCCCGGAAGTTGACGGCTTCCAAGTCATATTCGAGTTGATATGAGACCCACGTGATAACCACTACACCATGAAGACATTGGTTGGAGAAGCGGCGGGATTTCTGCCACTATGAGCCAGTGGTAAGAATAGCCCTGGTTCAAGCAACGCGTAAATTAACTAGCCTGCTTACTTCTGCATTGTCAAGTTCCATAGTGCAAACTGCAACCAACCAACCCAAGAAACATCATTACACATTCTCTGGGCCGCAACGAGCTTAGCACTGTATTGAGCTTTACATATATTGATGCATGTTTCACACATGGCACGTCTACCGAGCCTACTCCGTAAATCGAATGGAAAGGTCATTTGTATTTGTATTCAACTAAAATTCTCACCCATTGATTGCCTGTCCAAGTGCCAGTCATTTAGCCAATAGCCAACCATATACCTCCAGCAGCTGCTTCGGCTTGAAATCTGTTGTCGACGGGGGTGTGACAGACAGGCAGATAACTACAGCGTTCTTAGTCTATCAGTCAGAAGGCAAAGTACCCAGGCTCCCGGCCAGTAAACCCCCCAAGCAAAGCACGACGCCGACAAGCCCTCCGATCAACCAGCGCCTACCCTTGTCGCTTCTGAAACAAGAAAGAAGACGATCGAAGAGGACGGACGGTTGAGATAGAAAGAGACTAAGAAAAGAGACCTCCAGGAAAAAGGAATCCCCCAAGCTTACACTTACACTTGAGACCTGCGAGCTTATAACTTCTGTTACAGCGAGGTACATACCACCTCCTCTTGACAAGCCTCATCACCGAGGGAGAAGGTCCTGCTCAGACGACCCAAGCACAAAGCTTACAAAGTTGCTTCCAAAGGTGTACACCTTCTTACAGGCTAACTGGCATGTCCATTCGAGTCCCTTCGTGGACAATATAGCCAGCGCCTCTTTGGACACCAGCGTAGGACGTTCGATCATAAGCGTCAGCACTACTTGAAGGGCCGCCCTGAGCTCCTCAAGGTCATTGTTTCCCTGTTGCGCAGCCATTTTATTTTAGTTGAATGCTTGTTTTCTTTTTCTTTGGGACTGGACTGGGGGGAGGAAGAGGCGGGAGACACCGAAAAGTCCCGGGGAAAGGGTAACTTAGGTAGATAGGTCTTGAAGTACCTGCCTGGGACTATACTTAGTACTCCGTAGACCGCCCCCCAACTAGCGTATTCTACTACTAGAAGGAAGGCCTATTTCTGGAGTTCCTCCCCGATTATAGACCAACCGACCGCGAGAACGGGTTCATCTTTCCGGTTCCTCGTTCCTTGCGAGGCCCCTCGATGCCCCGAGTCCCCGAGTCTCTCACGTGGACAGCCGCTTGAAGACCATGATGAGATGAAAGCTTGAACAAGCCCACTCGACCATATTTCTTTGTTTCTTTGTTTTTTCCCCTTCCTTTCAGAGTCCACTTACGCCGAGACAATGTACAAGTTAACGTGAGCAAGCAGAAGCACATATACCGACTATCGAGGCACGGGACTGTTATACACATACCGACCACCCAAACAACAAGATTACATACACCAGTCTGTTTTCATTCACATTGGAGCACCTGAAAGCTGTGAAGAGCTGAACGGATTACTCCTGGAGCTGCCTTTCAGTCCGACGATATGCTTTCCTGGCTGGTTTCTATCTGGGATTGTTGAGATCTGCCCTACCTTGATTTCTGGCTGCCAATACCAAGCCAATGATCGACTGCGTGTATGAGGTTTCAAGATCCTGCGGCCTAGCACTGTTCCATATGTGTCATTTTTGAGCTGAGATTGATCGGGGGAAAGAATAACAGGTAGTTTCGATGACAGTTTCCACAACGTCCAGTTGTCTGCGTACCGTCCGGGGATCACACGTTCTAGTAACCGACCAACCTCATCCATAAACACAGTAGATGAGAACCAACACCCAAGCCACAAATCCTATTCCAAAGTATATACCATATCGAATACTTCTATCTGTCCATGGATGAAAACCTCCCCCCGAACTCCAATGTCCTGTCCTGTCCAACTCGCTCCATTCAACCACAGCAAAACAGCTCTCTTCAACGCCCACTACGACTCCGTCGCATATTATCCTTGCACTCGTTACAGTACCATTTCACTGTCGCCAAAAATGTTAGCCGAGATCAAATCAAATTCAAGCACCAAAAAACGTACCGTTCTTGCCGGGCGGTTTCGTCAACCCCACACACGACAGATGGAACCACTCGCGCGGACAGGCATCGTTGTCACACGCCACCATCTCGCCGAAGCTGATCTCATTGCAGTAGCAGTACCGCGGCTCGCCGTCCTCGTCCTCGTCGTCGCCCTCGTGCAGAGACTCCTCCTCCTCCGACACCGCCCGCTGCGGCACCACCACCGGCACGCTGCCGTTCTTCTTGTGCGAGCGTTTCGTGGTAGTCGTGGTGGTGGCAGCGGGAGCGGGATCGGTGCTTCGAGTTGGGCGCACACGCTGCGTCGTTGTCGTGGCGGTGGCGGCGGCGGCAGCAGCAGCAGCAGCAGTAGCGCTGGTGGACGATTCTGTGAACGTCGGCAGCACGGGGGTGGAGGTCTTGGAAGATCGGCCCTTGGGTGGTGGGTTCGGGATCGAAACCGGGGCAGGTGCAGGCGCCGAAGCACTAGCAGCATTCGCAGCAGCGGTAGTAGCGGCAGCCGGCGGCGGCGCTGGTGTTTCGCTGGGTTCGATGGATGGTGTTGGCTTGCCGCCGTCGGTGTCCTCGCGCTTCGTGCTTACTGGCACAGGCATCTTCGCCACGTCCACGCCCTCGTCGGCCATCTCGCGCGGGGTTTCGTTGGCGGAGCTGGGGGTGGCTTGCGGTTTGGCTGTGCTTTCCTTGATGACGGTCTTCGTCTCGGTTGTTTTGTCTGTGACAGGAATATGTCAGTTGAGACTGCAGCAATCGCAGCCGAGAGTCTAGAAGGAAACTCACTGTTCCCGGCCACACGATTGGAGGCGGATGACGATGGGCGCTGACGGCCGTTGTTTGCCGGTCCGGCAGTCTGCTGCGCACGGGAAGACTGCGGTCGTGCCGCACCGGGGCCTGGACTGGCTGCGTTGCGTGGGATCGTGGCTGCAGCGACAACCGGCGAAGGGGCGAGGATTGGCGAATCGGCCGCCGAGTTGCCTTGGTTGTTTCTGTTTGGTCATCAAGGAGTCAGTATCAGCTCGTGTAACAACAACCACAGCAACAAAGAAGACTTTGTTTTCTTTTGCAACTGCATGATCAGACGAAAACCCCCAAACATTCGCAACCTTACCTCTTTCGTGAAGCCGCGTTGGCATTCGGCGCACGCGATCTCTTCTTAGTGGCACCCCCCGCACCGCCAGCACCAGCACCAGTAGCATCTACATCCTTGGAGCCAGCCCGGCCTGCAGCACCACCTGCAGCACCGCCTGCGCCGCTCGCCGACCTCTCCATCGCCGCGCCCGTATCCACAGGCGGCGGCTTCTCGACCTTCCTCCGCTTCGCCTGACCGGAGGTACTGCCACCCTGCCCAGCACCACCGACATGTTCACCAGCCTGGCCTCCGGCACCAGCAGCGGCAGCGGCGCCTCCTCCTGCACCGCCTCTAGCCTTGCCACTCTGTCCTCCCTTCCTGCCACCACCACCACCACCAGCAGCAGCCCCGCCAGATCCCCTCGCTCCATCATCCAAATCCGAATCCACATGGGTCGGCCCTTGCCCAGCCCCCGCGCCGCCCCGCCGCTGCCTCCTAGCCATAGCCGCCTCGCGTCTAGCCTCACTCCGCGAGGAACCCTCCGCATCATGGCCAGCTCCATGCCCATGGGCCCCATGCCCATGCGAATGCCCATGCCCATGCGCCAGTTCCGTCTTGCCGGACCCCGTAGCATCGCGCCTGGGACGGTCCGTCGTCTTCGCGCTACCAGCGCCGATACCCACCAAGCGATTCGAATAGGCCCAATGCGACAAGCTGCCCAGGCGGGCCTCGTCACTGACCTCGCCCGCGATGAAGGGGAAGACGGCATCGAGGCGGGTAAGCTGGCGATCAAGCTCGTCGTTCGCATTCGAAATGACATGATTCTTCTCATCGGCGGTCATCATCAGATCCGACAGCGTGTGCCGGACACGGTCGAAGAGGAGGCGACGATTCTTGCTGGCGGGGGATTCCGAGGGGGGCTGTTGTTGTCATCCC